GATCCTTCCCTTCACCAGAGAAATCTTCATCGTTTTCGTCCTTGTCATCATCATCATCATCATCATCGTCATCATCTTGATCATCTGCATTTTCTTTGTCATCATTGTCCTCTGTTTCACTTGGATATTTGTTTTCTTGATTAGGACTTTTGGTTCTACGCAGCTCATCTAAAAGCAAACCTACAACAAGATGTTGAACTTAGCAATCAATTTTGGTAATGCACTAATATCATTTGGGATCAATCTTGTCTGTAATCAAACTAACACATTTTCAGGAGCAAGAATGGAGATAACTCAGAAACATATGATCTTTGTTGAATATCTGCGGTAAGTTGAATGATTGACATTTGAGAGAAAACTTCAAAACTGAATCAAATCTTTGTTGAATGTCTAGCTGATAAATACCCAACTGATTTTTCGGTCTGTAGATTAGCAGACAAATTCCAATTATCTTGGCTTGCTCGAAGAAGAAGATCAGTAAGGAGTGCATCATTCCGGAGGCAGGCATAATACCTTCATCAAACCATTAATGAAGTTAATTTTAGGGGTTAAATTTAACACACCCTGTTGAAAACTGATTGGGGTCTGTTTTAAAGTCTGTGTTTAACTTTAATTAAGTTCATCAAACAATTGAATGCTCTTGGGTGTTAAATTTATCAAACCTAATATTTTAAAGTCTGTGTTTTTAAATATAAATACATGTATGTATCTACGTGTATATAGCTCCTACCCAAAAGGCAGAACCTTTTTGGGCTGTTCAGCCCAGTAGAAGAATCCCCGGCTCATACTTGGGCCGGGATGGATTGGGACTGGGCTAGGTCCAGGCCCGATCGATATTGCAATTAATTTCAGCTTGCACATTGTGTGTTCTGCTTCAACCAAACGCGGTCTTAAAGCGCCGCCGTGCTTCGCTAAATTGAAGCTGAGCTGAGTGTAAGACTGTAGCCATTTAAAAGGCAAATGGAGAAGAAATAAAATAAAGCGGAGATTTTTCAAGCTTTTCTCACATGCCAAACAACGTTTTCTTCTTTCTCTGAACTCTATAGAAATGCTGAGGAGAAAACCAACCAAAATCCAACTGAAAATCGAAGACAAAGAAGAACTCGAAGAAGCCCGCAAGCCCCCACCTACCAATTCTGCCGCTGCTACCCCTGCATCCTCTTCCACCGCCTCCTCCTCCCTCCTTCACCTCCTCGATCCTCCCCACCATAATCCCACCTCGAAATCGCATCGCATCGGCCTCTCCCCTTAAACCCTAATCCTCCAAATCCGAACCCACTTCTTCCTTTATCCTCAGTAATGGAAGTCGAAGTCAAGCTACGCCTCCCGGACGCCGCTGCCCACCGCCGTCTCACGACTCTTCTCTCCTCCTTCCACATTAAAACCCTTCACCAGCGGAATTTCTTCTTCGATACTTCACAGAGTGACCTCTCCTCTCGTCGCGCCGTCCTCCGCCTCCGCTTCCTCGAGAACGACGCCGTTTCTCGCTGCATCGTCTCCCTCAAATCGAAGCCCACCCTTGTCAATGGAATCAGCCGCGTTGAAGAGAATGAGGAGGATCTCGATTTTTCCGTCGCCAGAGAATGCGTTGATGATCCTTCAAAGTTGCTATCCATCGAATCGAGGGTCTTGAAGAGAGTTGGGGAGGAGTTCGGGGTTGGGGCTGAAGTGGGGCTCGCTTGCTTGGGCGGGTTTGAGAACTTGAGGGAAGTCTACGAATGGAATGGGGTCAAACTGGAGGTCGACGAGACGAGGTATGCA